TTGCAGAATTATTATTACTCTCTTAGCAGGTAACATTTATTTATTTACGTGTTAGTAACCGTGGTAAGTGAAGGAGTGAAAACAAAATTTCAGTGAATCCTTGCGGAATATCTCCTGTAATAGAGACGCTGTTATCTCCATTTTACAGTGGAGAAAACAGGCTGAGAGGCCCTTCCAAATTTACCTAAGATCTAATGCTAATCAACAGCCATTAAAACTCAAGCCCAGGTCTCCCTCATACCCAAACCCAAGCTCTTACCTAATACTCTGCAGTCTCCTAATCCAGACCTGTTTTTTTTTTTTTTTTCAAATATAGTTTTAAAACTAAACTAGCACCCTCCTGGACATTTGATTCTGTTATCAGCTTTTACACCTAATATATTATTAACATACCTCAATGCCATTTATTATTCTTCTACAAATTTCATAGTAGGCTGCATGGTGTTTCATTATATGGATATGTTTTATTTATCTTTAAATGGCTCCATATTAAAACAAGAAATAAAAACTGGTTGTAAAATATTCAAACACACATAAGAATCTAAAGTAGAAAGTGCAAGTCCTCCTTCCCCATCCTGCTGCGTCCCACTCCCCAGAAGAAACCGCCATTAACAGCGTGATGTATTTCCCTCCACACAGTTGTTCTGTGCAATTTATTGCATGCAATGAAATTTATTTATTTTTCCTTAAAGAAATGAGGGCACACTGATTGACTGCTTGCTTTTCACCCACAGTGTAACATGAACATCATTCCAAATCTGTACATCCTTTTTAAAGCACGAGAAACCAGAAGTCACTTTTAGCTCTTGGCTTGAGCAAATGGGAGCCTGGTGAAATGGTGTTTGGGAGATTGAAAAATGAGAAGAGGAACAAGTCTGGGGTCATATCAGTCAAGAGTTCTGTTTCATACATGTCAGATTTGATGCCTGTGAAATATCCAAGTGGCAATTCCAAGTGGGTACTTAGCCTGTGGACAGTGGTGCTGGGTATAGAAATATAGGAGTCAACAGAGAATGCATGATACGTAAACCCGGGAAACAGTCCCCTGCTGCCTTTAGAAAGGGCATATGCTCTTTAGTTTGCCCCAGTCCCCATTCCTCCCAGTTGATTCCCATCACTGGGTCTGCATGTCATCTGTAGTGGACCTGATTCAGTCACTCTTTCCTACGAGGTCACTAAGGCTTCAGGCTTTGTGACAGTGGTGTATTATCAAGGGGTGTTATGAAAAATCATCCAAAACTTGGATTTAGGGCTAAAAGCAGGCAGCAGGTCATTCCAGTGTCCCACTGGAGGGTTATTGAAGAGGCCCACCCAAGGGCTATGGCTTTGTAGGGGAACGGATCTTCACTTCACTTGCCATTGACTGTAGATGAAAAACCCAGGCTCTGTGCAGTTCCACCCTAACTGTAGGTTTTGTCAGGTCAAGATGCACACCCCATCGGCTGTGGCTTGACTGCCCTGCAGTACATTACGTGCTTTTGACCAGAGCCACAGAGAAGCACAATCCTGACTTCATGATTTCTTACCAGCATCTCGCACAGAGACTCACCAGGGATTCTCAGGAACTTCAGTTCAGTCCCCTGCACTTTCTGGGGCCATGAGGCTACAACACCCCCTGGTCCCAAACCATGTCCTCAGCACCCCCTTCCTTTCTCTGACCTCCTAGCTAAGGTCATCCACCAGGGGTCAGCACAGCTCTGGCCATATTTGGAAGTTTCCCAGTCTGGTGCCTTGGAGCTGGTCTTTTTCATCTATTGTGCTGGGTTCTTTCAACCTGAATTCAGGGGTCCTTCTTTCACTCTGGAAGATGTGAGGCTATTGTTCCTTTGATAATTTTATGCCTGCCTTTTTCTCTTTCCTCTTTCAGGAATTCCTAGTAGTTGGCTGTTGGACAGACTGTACTGAGCCTCTAGATTCTGCCCCCGGCCCACTCTCCTTTTTTTCGTTTGTGTATTTTAATCTGTTTCTGGAAGAATGTATCCACTTTGCATTCTGTCTTTTCTATTGGATATTTTATTTTTATAAATAATAGAAAAGGAATGCTTTCTTGGTCTTGTTTCTTTTCATCGCATCCTGTTCTTGTTTGCTCTGTCCGAAGATATTACAGGTTTTTGTTGTTGTCCTTTAAGTTTCTGTGTGTCTTCTCCACAATATATGTTTCCTTTTTCGGGTTGGTTGACTTGACTAAATCCCTCTCATGTGGTAATGTTTTCTTCAACTGTCGGAGGTCCTCGGTTTATGCACTCTTTGGGGCATCTACGTACACGTGTGCATGCACAGGCAGCATTAGCGGATGGTTGCCAGTCTGGGATACTGGAACAGTGACTCAGGCTTTTCATTGAGGAAGCATCTGGAAATCTCTGGGATGCTAATTTTTTCCAAAGAGCTTTCCAGTCAGCTGCCTGGGGGATAGGCACCTGGCTTGAGAGGCTTGGGGAACAGCAAAGGGACTGTGGGGAGAGGAAAGGGGGCAGCCCTGGGGGCAGAGGCTCACTTGCCCCCTGCCTCGTTTGATGTTCCCAAGTCCAGAACACACCTGTTTCAGTTTCTCCAGGGAACAAATGGCCAGCCCCTTCCCAGCAGACATGGGAGTGCTAGTCTCCTGGTTGGACAGAGCAGCGCGGTTCGGGACGGGATGGTCCCAGTTTCAGCCTGATGCGCTGACTGGCCCGTGATGTGTGGGATGGGGCTCCCACTCCCTGAGCCTCTGGGGCTCCTCGGCTCCTTCAGTTTCTAGAGGGATTTAATCGCATTCCTTCATCAGCTACCCTCTAACCATACTTTCCCAATTCTCTTATCTCCTCCCACATTCATTTTGTCCTACCAGGTTATAACTCTTTTATTTCTTTCCAATCAGTACAGTGAGGTTTGGGGGAAGGAAAAGAGATAAATGCATGTAGCCAATATACTCTGTTCAGTGAGAAGACTCATTTCTTTTAATTCTACTAACTTGATTTTTTTTTTTTTTTTAACTTCCTGGTGGTGTTGGCTTTTAAATTTTGTTTACCTCCAACCTCTAGTTTCACTGCCTCAGGGCCCAGGCTGTGGCCTGAACTTGTTCTCTGGGCAATTGGCTATAGTCAACTTGGGTGATGGTCCATGTTGTCATCAGAAGGAAAGTGTGTTAGGGCAAGGGCTTGCTGTACTCCTGCTTAGTGAACCTTATTATCAAAAGCCTCTAGGTTCTTATTTTTTGCTTCCTTGATGTGTAATAACCTCACACTGGTGGTGATATTCTCAAGCAATTGTTTCTTGTCTTTTTCTTTGGGTTTCCAGAAGTCTTTTTTGTTTTATTTCTTTTCTTCTTCTTCTTCTCCCAGCCCTTGTATCTTTGTTGTAAATGCCTTCTATCAACAGCAAGTGATTTCTCTTTGTCCAAGTCATTGCTATTTGGATGGCATCACCCCAGCAAAGGGATGCCAGTCCCTGGTCACCTGGACTGGGGACAGCAGTACAGGTACACTGAGGGGTCCATGGGCTTGGCAGTGGGGGGTGGCTGTGGGAGGCGAGTTAGGCTTTCAAGGGCTGGGGACGAGTGGGAGATGGAGATAAGACATCAGGTCCCTGTGGGCAGGACACTCTGACAGGCTCAGATGAGGTGAGAGAGACAAAAGAGCTGAGAGCTGACCGGGCACTCTGGAAAGCTGTGGGCCAGGCGCAGAGACTGAAGGTCCACCAGCCAAAGAGCCAGCAGGAGGCAGGGCTGTGGGGATGGCCAGGGCTGCCTTGGGAGGGCACAGAGGGCCTTCGGGCCTGTGGCTGCAGAGGGAGGGCTGGCTTAGCTGGGTGATGATGGGCCTGGGAAGGTGAGGGCGTCGAGGGACAGGAGGCCTGGCTCTCAGAATTAGATGGCTGGCCGGGGCCAACCAGGCGTCCCCGGGAGCACAGCGTGAACTGGAACGTGGTTCTTACTTTCTCCTGCAGCACTCAGCCACCTAGAGTGTGGCCACTGGGTCGACCCAGGACTGATGTGCTTGAACCCTGTTGCTGAGGGGCTGAGGAGGGACACAGGGCCTGATCTTGGTGGGGAAGGCCAGGGGACATGACAGAATCATCTGTGGACAGGGACTGCTGTAAGGGGAGGCGGACTTGACAGAGGACAAGGCATGGTGGCTGGCCCTTGGGGGCAGATCTACTTAGACAATGCTGTCCTAGGCTGGAGCTGCTGGCTGGAGTAAAGGGGCAGGGCCAGTCCCCAGGTGGAGTCAGAGGACCTACGCAGGCAACGGACTAGACATATCCCTGCCCTGGCAGAGCCTCAGTCGCGTCTGTCCAGGTTTTGATGGTTTGGATTGGGCTTGGCCTTGCCCTCCTACAGCGGGATTCTCCATGCCTTCACCCTAGGGGGTTACAACACACTGAAAGATGGGACCTTGAGCTGCTGCGGGTGGGCAGGGCCCAGGGCTTCAAGGGTCTCCTGTGCCACAGGTGCAGCTGAAGGGGCTCAGGGGCTGGTTTATTCCAAATGAGGGAAGCTGGTTCCACCCTGCAGGTGGGTCTGGCTTGGGAGAGACTGCGTTGGCTTTTGTGGGTATTGAAACCTTGGGAATATTTAGTCCAGCTCAGCCATGCCTTGCTGGTGACCCTGGGTCAACCTCTTGTGTTCCCTGATCCCCTCTTTCCTAGAGCTAGATTTGATGGATGGGAAGTCATTTCATGCAGAGCCTGGAAGAAGCTGGGGTCTGCTGCAGGGAATGTGTAGTGGCCATTCTATCTCCTTGGAGGTAGGGGAACCCACAGACCCCCCACTGCCAAGCACAAGGGGTCTGGGGAGGGTCTTCGTGAGTCTTCAGAGACTCCACCCTGGAGGAGGAGGGGCAAGTCCAGGTCACCCAGTGAGCACTGCCAAGCTGGAGACTGCAGGATTCAGGGGTTGTGAGGCCCCGGCCCCACCAGAGTGGACCAAGCATGAGCCCCTTTCAAGTGCAGCAGCAGCCCAAGACTTGGCTCATTCCTATAAAATCACCCAAGACACAGATAAATGGAGAGACGAGTCAGGATTAAAATAGCTAAATAAATCTTTAATATTTCTAATTGCAAATGTACAGAAATTGCACAGCCACACAGAGTCTTAGAACACCAACAACTTTCTCTGTACATTATTACATGGTTAAAAGTCATGGCTGGAAGGAGGAGCTCCAGCCAAACTCCAACATTTGCATTTTTTCCTTTTCACATACTTACAAAAGGGGGGAACTAGGACACGGTGGGGGGTGGGGGGCGGCTTTATGGCCGCGTGTGTAGAAAAGAGGGGCTGTTTCCCTGGACGGTCTGGCTCCTGCAGACGGACAGGTGTGAGGGAACAGTGTCCCTCAGGACAGGTGCTCTGGGGGAGGGGGTGTGTGTGGAGCTCTGGCCCTGGACCCCCCTTCCAGGCGGTCAGAAAAAGTCTTCATTTACAGGAAGTTTGGCAGTTTCCTTCACCCTGAACATATGAGTTGAGCAAAAAAATGTCAGGTTTCTCTGTTGGCAGGGGAGGGGCAGCCTTTTCTAGCAATCTGGGGACTTTGTCTCCCCTGAGCAGGGACCATCCTTTCCTCAGGGACCTCTGGCAACCCTAGCCCGGGCTGCGGGCAGGGCCCAGCCCTGGGAACACAAGTTTCCTGTGGCCTCAGGTAGGAGTCCTCTTTACTGGACCCATCAGGGCCCGTGTCCCCATCAACCGCCACCCAGACAGCACGCCGCAAAGCCACAAGTAAATGCCAGAAGGAGGGAAAAGACAGAAACCCCTGGATCCCAAAGCGCTCTGTCCTGCCCAGCACTTCTCTCTAGATCACAAAATACAATACAAACCATCAGGAGAGCAGCAGTCCCGGCAGCCCTCGCAGCACCAGGACTAAAGGACTATGTACAACCTTGGGTGAAATAGTTACATTACAGTCAAACACCAAGAACATTTACAAAAATCGTCAGACTTGCAATTAAGATAAAAATCTGTGAAGAGTCTGTACACTTTTACAGTTTTTGCACTAGGTAAGTAAGGCTCTCGGCCTGAGAGCTCACAACCCCCTCCAAGGGTAGCCAGCACCGGCCACAGCAGCTGGCCCCCGCACCCTCCTCTCCAGGCCCTGGGGACCTCCCTGTATTGCTAAGAGGTGCTCAGTTCGAGGTCACGCTACGAGGCATCTGCGGGAGGGGTGGGGTGGGTAGGGGAGGAGAGCAGGGCTCCCTGGCAGTGAAGATGACACTGGCCAGAGGAGGACACACCTGGAGCCAGGCCCTGCCTGTGTGGCCACCCTGGTCTGAAATGCACAGGTGCAGAGTTGTGGACAGGAATGGGGGCAGGAAGGGGTGGCAGCAGGACCTCAGCCCCACCTCCTTCCTTCCTGAGGTCTCTGGCCCTTGGCAGTGCAGCCCTCTCCACCAGCATGTCTCTAGCCTAACTCTCCCTCCCGAGTGCAGCCGCTGTCACCTGCCCATGGGCCCAGGAAGGGGTGCAGCGTGGCTCTGGCCACCCCTCCAGCACTTCTGCCCTTCCTGGGAGACTCTGTGGCACTTTCCAGCCCCAGAGACAGAGGTGGCGGCTCCTGCAGCTCGCCCAGCCCTGGCTCTGCTGCCATGGGCCAAGGCCCCAGCTCCTGGCCTAGGTGACCCAGGGCCAGGGCTTGGAATCTGTAGGGCCTGGGAACAGATGGGGCCAAGAGACCCCAGCTCCTGCCCATCTATGTTCCGCAAAGGGGGGAGGGGCAGATATGCTACAGAACAGCCTGGAGTTGAGGGAAGCCAGCCCCAGCTGTGAGAGTGCCCCTCCCCTGTCTGCAGCGCCCGGGTCCTTGGCTGGGGCCGGGAGGGGTGAGGAGGGCGGCTGCGCCGGGCCCGGTGCAGGCTGCTGCTGTCTTGAGAGGGAGCAAGGCTAACATCCTCCAGGGCCGCTATTTCCCATGCAGTGCGCACGCTCAATTTAAAAGGCCCCTGTGTTCCAGCAAGCGAGCAAGCGGGCTTTTGTTTCTAATGCATACTGTGAAAGGAAAAAAAATCACAGTTATCCACCTTCTCAGGGCCTGCAGGGTTAGAATTTCTTCTTTTAAACCATCAGAGGAAAGATCACCTTTTCAGGGGCAGTACCAGCTGGCCACTCCCCTCAGGGCCACTGTGCCAGGAAGCACTGGGCCCTGGAGAAGGCAGCTGCAATGCACAGTGCCACTGGGCAGCTCTGCCCAGCTCTTTGGCTTCTGGGTGTCCCAGAGCAATAGCCCAGGCCCATGTGGCAAGTGTAGAAGGCTCTGGATCCTCCCCATGGGCATAAAGGCCCCAAAGAAAAAGCCATGATCCTCACAGGTCTACTTGGCAACGTGACTAAAGAAACGGTGATGGTGTGAGTCTGGGGACAGGGGCAGGTGGGAGTGAATCCTCAGTTCCTCACAGCCAGGCAGGGTCCCCGATGGGCCGCATGCAGTGGCAAGTGGGGCAGAGACAGGCAGGGGACACGGAACCCCTGCCTTGGTGACCTCCCCCACATCTCTCTGCCTGCCAACCAGCCCATCAATTTCCGGGCCCCACAAGGCAGAGGCCTGGCCGCCAGAGTTCTGGGCCCCCAGCAGGCTAGAGGAAGCCACAGGAGTGGCCCCTGGCCCTTAACTGCCCCCTCTCCAGCAGCTCCCTCCCTGGTGAGGTGGGGTACATGCACTTGGCCGGGTCAAGGAGGAGAAGGTGACACACATCAAATTCAGTAACCAACAGACATGTGTTTGGCAGCCCTGTCCCCACTCCCCCACGTGCAGTCTCTTCTGCCTGCACCCAGACACGCTCCTTGGCGGAAGAGGAGGGGCACGGCTGGTGGCCCACCTCGCGCTGCAGCAGTCTCTCGCGCTCCCTCTGCGGCCGCCTCCTGCACAGCGGGCAAGGGGAGGGGGCGCCTCGGCCTCCTGCCACCCGCACTGGGGCTGCAACTGTGGGGGCGCCTCCCCGGCCGAGACCCTGCCCTGGGCCACCATAGTCCCCCTCTCCTTAGGTAGGTTCCTCCCTCCTCGGGCAGGTTAACAATTGCTGCTGTTTCTGAACTCGCCGTTCTCAGTAATCTGCAATTTGGTGGGGTTGGTGGGGGAGATGCCGTTACGGGCTTGCATGCTGTACCTCTCTTTCAGCTGGGTCAGCGCGCTCATGAGGCGGGCGTTGGCAGCGTCCAGTGAGGCGATGCGCTTCTCCTGCGGGCAGGGAGGGCATTAGGGGACCCAAGATGAGCTCAGGCCACAGGGAGAAGCATGCCCCTGTGAAGTGCCCTGGGGCCAGGGGTACCTAGAAGAGCTGGCTGGGCAGGCAGGGCGGGCCGGGGTGCCACAGGCAGAGCACAGGTCATGCACCAGGCTTCAGAGCAGCTGGCACAATGGGGCGATGGCTCTGTCCACCATGGACTGAGCTCTCAGTGCCTATTTCTTAAACCTGAGCGGCTCTCACAGTGGTGTGTATGGCCACCTGAGGCTTCATGGGCAGGCATCTCACTCATGTGCACATGGACACCCACAGAGGTTACAGCTCCTCATCTTTGCAGTTTATAATCTGAACAAGACCTGGCCTACTGCTGGGCAACCGAGGGAGGTGTGCAGTCATGAGTTAGGGACTGAAGCCGGTGTCCCCTTCAAGTCTCCTCTCTAAAGCTGTGGCTTCCAAACTGCATTGAAACAAGAGACCCAGTGCTTCCTCTGCCCAGCCAGCCGTCAACTCCCTGCCTCTAGCCCTTCCAGTAGTGTCCACTCTTTAGTCAGCACCTTCCCTGGTGAAGGGTATACCCACAAAGTGCTCCAGCAAGCAGGGAGCACCCCCCTCCACCCCAGCTTGTGCTACTGAGTTTGTGGCCCAAAGAGACCACAGGCTTCACAGAGCAGAGATCCTCAGCTTCTGCCAAAGTAGACTGAGGATTTTGGAGAAACCAAGTAACCCGCTCCTCACACCAAGTCCTCTATCACCTGTGGCTAACCAAAGGGCCAAAGCTCCCCACCTGTGCATCAATGATCTTCTGTTTGGAGTCTACAGCTGCTTGCATCTCTGCATGGTCCTTCTTCAACTCCTCCTCCACTGACATCAACCTGGGAGACACAGGGACAGTCAGATTGGCACTGGAGGGAGCAGGAAAGGGTAAGGCTTTGTGGGAAAGCCCACCACACCTGCATGGGGTGGAGACAATACATTAGGAGTCCCTCCTTGGGCCACAGACTTGCCACCCACACTTGCTGGAGCAGAGGCCCCCCCAGTGGCTGCCATGTCCGGCTGTTCCTTCCTCTCAAATCCCCAGAAGGCCCTGGGGGCGTCCCTTTCTTGATGTTCTTCTAGGAACCAAGGTAGGTAGGTGGTGGGACAGGGTTGGATCTTCATAACTCTCAGAGCAAGGCATTTGGTGCTACACCACAGGACTCATGGTGCAGGGGGAAGATGAAGGGTCTGAAAGGCTCTGGAACATTCTCCACCCCCCATTCACCGAGGTCGTGTGCTGCTGTGCTAGGCACTTGCGGTATGAAAATGAATGGGAAGCCGTGTGCAGTAGAGCAACTACACCCCACACTGGCACTGTGGGAAACTGGGGTCCATGGGATGCAGTGCAGGGAGCAGCTACCTGACCAGGACAGCAACTGTACCTCAGGCCCCTGAAGGACGGGCTTGGAGGGAGCACATGGAGAAGATGAGGAGAAGAACCCTCTGAAATGCTCTGGCCCGTCTATCTTTCCCAGAGCCCCTGGCCTCAACTCACTCCAGTCTAGGTGCCATTGACACCAGTCACTGCTGCCTTCCAAGCCCCTGTGGCCTCTGCCTATCTCTGGCCACTGCTCTGCAGACCCCTGTCCTGCGTGCCCCAGGAAACGGAGTTCCATGAGCTCTGGCTTGCTCCACATGCTTCTCAGAGCAGCCACCTACTCCCAAGGCCACACTTCCATCTCCACCCACCCTCACAATTCCTCCAGCCCAGCTAGTCCACTCTTGGTGGAGCCCAAGGGATCAGCGGTGCTGAGGCAGGTGCCCCACATGGCTGCTGAGGACCGAAGGACCATTGTTAGGAGTGTTGACCAGGCTGTGCCAAGGCAGATGCCTCTCCAGGGAGGCAGGACACTGAGAAGAGCTTGTGTGTACGGGGTGGGGGTGTTAGGTGGTATCGATTAAGGGAAATTATATTAGAAGAGCATTGGATTTATAACCCTGCCTTAAAAAGAAGCAAACAAGGGCTGGGGATGTGGCTCAAGCGATGGCGCACTCGCCTGGCATGCGTGCGGCCCGGGTTCGATCCTCAGCACCACATACAAACAAAGATGTTGTGTCCGCCGATAACTAAAAAATAAATGTTAAAAATTCTCTCTCTCTCTCTCTCCCCCTCTCTTAAAAAAAAAAAAAAAAGAAGCAAACAAACAAGAAAACTGAGCACAATATCTGAAACCAAGGTTTTCAGACACCAAACAGGCACCAGCATATGATTCCCAAGAGAAGGTGAGCCAAGGAGGCGACCCCTGCTCAGACTGCGACAGAGAAGGGGAAGCTGCAGCCTCGCTAGGCTGAGGACACATAGGAAGTTCAGAAAAGGTGAAGACAGGTTTTCCAGTGTGCAGAGTACTGTGCAGAGACAACTGCACAGGTTTCCCGAGGGGTCCCTTGGGTCTTTAGATGAATCATGAATACTGGGGGCAGCATGCATGTGAGAAAAGTTCTAGGCAAGAGCTACTGGAAAGAACTATACAAATCAATCTCAGGGACAGCCGGTACTGCTACCTGCTAGAGGAGGAAGAGACCCTGACAGGGATCCCCAAAAGGAAACTGCCTCAATGGCAGGGCCAAAGCAGGCCTAGTAGCAATACCCACTCTTGCAAAGCTTGAAAGTGAACCCTGGAAGGGTAAAGCTGCTTCCCAGTCACCCAGAAGAAACACAAAACATGTAGCACCGAACTATCAAATCCACAATGTCTGGCATCCAAACAAAAATTTTTTACTAATTTTTCTCCTGGTTATGGGTTTTATTTTCCCATAAATAAAATAAAACCCATAACCAGGAGAAAAATTAGTAAAAAGACTCACATGTCACAGATGACAGAATTAGTAGGCAAGGACATCGAAACAACTATTTTACATATATCCTACATAGTCAAAAAAATAGAAGTATAAGGATGTCAAGATAAAAATCAAATTCTAGAGGTGAAAAATACAGTATCAGAAGTAAAGATTATTTCCAGGTGTGGTGGTACACACCTGTCATCCAGAGGCTTAGGAGGCTAAGACAAGAGGACCAGGAATTCAGGTCAGCCTCATGAACTTTAGTAAGGTCCTAAGCAACTTAGTGAGACTGTCTCAAAATAAAAAATAAAAAGGACTTGGGATGTGGCTCAGGTTTAAGCGCCCTTGGGTTCAATCCCCAGTACCCACATCCAAAATAAGTAAAATAAAAATTATTAGATAAAGTTAACAGCAGATTTGACACTAAAAAGAAATAAGTAGCAAACTGGACAATGTAGAAATTATTTAAGAAAAAATACACACAGACAATAGAGCATCAGTGCAATGAAGGATGATACAAAGCGGCTCAACCTCTGAGTGACGGGAGCCCCAGATAAGGTGGGGGAAGTAGGACCCTACATCTGCAAATCCACAGCATAATAAGCCCAAGAAACGAAGGAAGCCAGACCAAGTCTTCTTATAACAAACTGCTGTCCAAAAGCGATAAAGAAAAAACATTTTTTTTCCTGAGGTGCTAAGGGTGGAACCCAGGGCCTTGTATATATCAGGCAAGTGCTCTACTGTGGAGTTACCCCAGCCCAAGAATACTATCCTAGAACCAGCCAGAGAAAAGGCACATAAATATAGAGAAACAAAGATGATGATAAAGTCCCTGTCATTAGAGCCTAAGGGAGGGGGTGCAACTGGGCCCAAAGTCTGTTGCTGTTAACAGCCCATACCACTGAAACAGGCGGCCACAACAGCAGAGTGGAAAAGTTGCAGTGAGACCACACAAAACAATGAGCTGTCCTTTAGAGAAGGCTTGCCACCCCGGGCCCAGAGCAGTAGGGAGGTAGAGCCAATAAGCCAACAATGGAGACAAAACAGAATTATTAAAAAATCCACCATTCAAAAGAAGGCCGAAAAAAGGTAAGAAAGGCTACAAATAGGAAACAAATAGCAAGACAAACAAAATCATGCTAATGATTACATTAAATGTAAACGTCTCAACACTCTAATTAAACAGCAAAAAAAAGAAGACCCAACAATAAAGTAATTTATACACATAGATGGTGTGATGGTCTAAACATCTGTTTTCTCCCAAATTCACAGGATGAAAGCTAACCTCCAGGGTGATGGCATTAATAGGTGGAGCGTCTGGGAGTGATTAAGTCAAGAGGTCTCTGTCCTCATGAACGGGATCAGTGCCCTAGAGAAGCCAGAGGGAGCTTGTTTACCTTTCTGCCATGTAAGGATATACCCACAAGGCACTATCTGCAAAGGAGGGCCCTCGGCAGACACTAAATCTGCTGTACCTTGATTTTGAACATGCCAGCCTTCAGAACCATGAGCAAAAAACTTCTGTTGTTTATGAGTTACCCAGTCTAAGGTATTCTGTTGTAGTGGCTTAAATGATCTAAGACAATGGGCTGAAGGTACAAAGATAATGAAAGGGCACAAATCAAAAGAAAGTTGGTGTGGCTATATTTGACAACCCAAGTTTCAGAGCGAGACATATCATGAAAGATAAAGACGTGATTTTATAATGAAAATGAGGTCAGTTTATCAATAGTTCATAATGCTCAAAGTACAGGCACCTAAGAATAGAATTTCAGTGTAAATAAAGCAAAAGCAATAGAAACGAAAGAAGAACTATATGAATTATGATTGGCCACCTCAAAATCTTTTTCTCATGGACTGGCAGAACAGCAGTAAACAAGTGGATAGAAAAAGCAAGAAGAATACAGAAGACCCAAACAACACTATCAACCAAACTGACCTCGCTGACATTTACAATAGGGAGGAGATTAACCAGCATAATTTAGGAGAGATACACGTGTTAAGTAAGCCATTGCATTTAGAGCAGAAACCTCAGAGAACAGGTATAAAGAGGCGGAGGTGGGCAGGGTGAAAATGTTTCCATTCTTGGAACCACACCAGGGGAGCCAAGAGCAGAGCTGGAGGTCAAGTGAACACAGGTCTCTAGTCACTGGTTTCAGCTCACGTTAACCACTGCACAATGAACATCACCACAAGTTAGTGAAGCCACAGTAGTCAGGAAGAGAGAAGCAGGTGGTCTAAACAGGAGGAATTTGGGAAGGGCCAACTGTGGACAAAGCATGGGGCCAGATAAGGGAACTTCCTGGTTACTAAACATCTGTTTAATCTGTCCAGGTAACAGGGTCTTAGACTGTGCAAGTAAATAGATATGAATCCAAATGTCTTTCCTCTTGTGCCATAAGAAAGTGTACTCCAAGATGGGACCTTGAGGGTTGGCCTGGATGCCACACCTACACTGTACCTCATCTGCCTACCTACCACAGGTGGAAAGAGAGGCACGGGGGGGCAACACAGGACCTGACAAGCCATCAACAAAGATGAGAGCCATCATTAAAACCAACTGTACCCCAGGCAACTCGGGCAAGCTGAAACTCAACAAACCCCAAATCAGTCACTATCCCTTTCCCTCTCCCCCTGAACAGCAACTCTTCCCACCTGGCACCCTGACACACATACCCCCAGACCTCTCAATAGAAATCTGGGGGTGGAGTTGAAAAAATGATACAATTAAAAATAGATGTGTTTCTGAACTCTGTTATCAAGTAATTTTGCATAAGGTAAAAATACAGTTCATGGTGATTACCTAAATGAAAAAAAGAAACCTGGGGGTTATTGTGTCTGGCCCCTGCCTCCCACCCTCACTTTCAGAACGTAACTGACATTCCTTTATCCTGCTCTGAATGGGTCCTGCCTTTCCTAACACCCCAAGCCCAGCTTCTACACTCCTGCAGGACCCTCCAGGAGCTGGCCCAGCCTCCCTCCTGCTTTCCCCAACTCTGCACTCGGCCATCAACAAGCCAGCACCATGGGGGCTGTCTACATGCCAGGACTGGCGCACGGCCCCATGGCCTGGGATGCTGCCTTCCCCTTTCCCCCTTCAGCAAATCAGCAACTACCCAGGCCAGGGGCACTGAGGCTCGCCCACAGACCGCGGCCTCGAGGGCAGTGGACAGGCTGCCCTCACCTGCTGATTATGCCTTTCATCTGGATGTCCTTATCTTCTTGCTGCCGCCGCAGCCGCTCTTCCCCCTCCTCCAGCCGCGCCTGGTACTCCAGCACCAGCTTCTGCGTCGTCTCCTCCTGGCACTTGAACAGGGTCTCATATTCCTCCAGCTTCTTGGTGGAGATCCGCAGCTTGTCCTGCAGCACTGCCAGGTCCTGCCAGGAGGGCAGAGTGCCACGGCACAGCACCCGGGACAGAGAGCACAGCCTCGTCAGCCTGAGTGGGGCAGGAGCCGGGAGGGGAATGGCCCAGTAGCTGTGATGAGACTCAAGCCTGTCCCCACCCAGGAGTCTCTCCTCTCTAACCTCCCAGTCTGACTAGTACAGCTACAAGGGAGATGAAGGCTCAAAAACTCAAATCTCAGGACAGTGTAACTAGGACCTTGAGCTTTCTTTTAATGATAAACAAAGGTTTTAAAACCCTAAGATATACGACGATATCCTAAGCACCTGGAAGTGGGGGCTCTGCAGGAGGGGAAGCTGAAGCCTAGATGACGCGACTGAATCATATGGTGACTGATCAGCAGGCTGAGATCCTAAGGACAGGATCCTACAGACAGGATCTCAGGTGGTGGCACAGAGAGAAGTGAAAGGTAAAGGCAAGGTGGTTTGGGCTTTCTGTATCGGACTCAAAGGGAGGCACAAGGGGGCAAGAGACGCCTTCTGGAGGCTGTGTGGGCTACAGGAGGAGCAGCTGCCTCTGAACAAGAGGGAGGCAGGGGCAACCCCAGAAGCAAGAGGGGTTAGACATGTGAGGAAGCAGGTCTGAGGGGAGCAGGGAGCCTGGGGTGACGTCAGGTCGCCTCACTCCCTGCCAAACTCCGACTCTTGGAGCACTGTGTGCTGTGTTCCTGGGTCCCCTTTGCACAATTATGGTGAAAGCAGGTGCATGCAGCAGATCAAGGGAGTGGTGGAGAGTGGCAAATGCAGCATGGAAATGGACCTCACCCACAGCCAGGGAGAGGAAGCGCTGCCACCCTGACCCCTGGGACCTTGCTTGATAGGCTGCCACAGGCTGTCCCAGGCCCTGAGGGGTAAGAGCACCCAAGCCTGATCTCCAGCAAGTGGGGAGGTAGCTGCACTGCCTCCTGTCTACCTGGGCTTTGGCTTCCAGGGACGTTCAAGGACTACCCCCAGATCCAGGGCAGCTGCCACAACTGGAAGACCTGGCAGGATGGTCAAAGCACCCCATGGCCCATCAAATGTTAGAGGTGTGTGGTGGACGAGGGTTAGATTTGTTAGAATCATTTTTTTTTTTTGCTCTTGGGAGGAAGAAATCAGTGGTAAGCTGACCCCACCTTTCTTCCTGGTGACTGTTTTCCCCAGGCCCGGGTGGAGACTGGAACTAAGAAGAGCCAGGTCCTGGGAAGGCATAATCCTTGGAAGAAGGGGGCCTGGGTGGGGCAGCTCTTCTAGCTATCTTGGGGACAAGAGCCTGTTTCTGCCTCCTCAAGACTAAAGCTCCCCCCAATGGTCTCTAGGTGCCTCTTGGGCACCTGGTTCTCCAGCTCCACATGCTCGGAAGCTCAGCTGCTTCAGGGTAAGCGGTCTCTCAGAGCTCCAGCCTCCAGGTCCCAGAGTCTGACCCAGTGCCATTCCTAGGTGATGCTGAAATGCAGCCTGTATTGGAAGCCTCAGGTCTAAGCTAAACCCCTCCTGCTGCTTTTCTCCCACTGACCCCTAGCCCCACGGGGATAAGGGGACATAGAGATTTAGTCATTCTCAGATGAGCAATACCCGCTCAATGAGGGCCCACCCAGCCCGCCTGCCCGGGTCCAGCTTTACCTTTTCTGCTTGGCTGAGCTCCTCCTTACTCCTTAGCCTATCCCTGTGGGGGGGGTCTGGGCCCAGGCCCTCGTCTTCTAACAACTGCGCATTCATGGTCAAGAGCCAAGCGGCTGTGCGGTCCAGGGCATTGGGGCTCACGGGTGAAGGGCCCTACAATGAAACACAGCTGTGATGGGCTGCAGGAGGCAGAGGGAAGAGGAGAGGGCAGACACTAACCGTGGGCAAGCCACAAGGACAGTGGCTCAGAAGCATGACAGGAGGGGACTTCTAGCTGTCTATCTCCTGGATGGCAGCCAGAGATAGTCAATAGCCTGGGGGCTCCTGAGCACTGCACCCTGCTGCCACTGGGAGCACCACAGTAGGCTGAGCTGAGGGGCAGCTGGTGCTGGGCTGGGCAGTCACCCAAGCACACCGACCCATGGCTTGCAACCCTTAGGTGACAGGGATCGTCCACACTTCCGGCAGTTGCACCTGGTGGCCAACTCAGCCCATATGAGCAGTTTGGGAAGAAAGTAGAGGCTAGAGAGGGGCCAGGCTGATTCCAGCACGAGGCATGGGCTTTAACAGGCCTGGAACTGGAAATAAATGGACCCCTCCCCCCTTGCTCCCCAATCCAAGTCTTTATTTCGGGGAAATGGCAGAGGGCCCTGGTGTCCCTTGAGGCCACGGTGCCCCTGGTTCCAAGTGGAGGGAGCAGTGTGCATAGCAGGCCAGCGACGGGGCTGGATGAGGCATCACAGCATGAGATGGCAGCTGGGCGCTGGTGAGGTGAAATGACAGAGAAGGAGCATGACACGGTGCGTGACACCCCCTGGACTGAGAGTCCGGCCTGCCCCGACCCACAGCACTGACCTGCTTGTGCACCGCCCGTGGCTTCAGCTCTGGGCTGTCCCCCTTGGAGGATGAGGACTGCTGCCGCAGCCGGGCCCCAGGGCCAGCCCAATCTGGTGAGGCTGACGCCAGGGTTCCACTCGAGGGCCGTGGGTACTGCAGGGTGCTCAGCAGGGTGGGGGGCGTCCTGCCCCGGGGAGCAGGAGGTGGCGGTGGGGGTGGGGGTGGAGGCTGGTCAATCCTCCGCTGGGGACCAGCGCTGTTCTGCCGTGGCACCGTGGGCTGCCCACCCTTCTCAGTCAGTGACATCTGTCGCCGTGCCAGCTCACCAGGCCGCCGAGCCAGCTCCTCCGCGGTGGTACCGAAACTTCCCAGCTTGGCGGCAGCCGCCAGCTCTTCACTGTTACTGTGGGAGCTCAGGGAACTATGGCCTTCAGAGCCTGAGTCACCAAGGCCACGGGGCGACAGCGGCAGGCCAGCCGCCATCTGGTACACAGGGTTCTGGAAGGAGAGTGGTGCCAACAGCTGGGGCCGCCCAGGTGCTCCCTCAGAGGTGCCTGGTGTGGTTGGTGTCTGGCCTGCCCGCCGCACCGTGGCCAGCCCTGCCAGGCTCACTGGTGCTGCCCGGGCTGGCCACCCAGCCACCAGCTGAGTGGTGGGTGCCTGCCCATCGGTGGGAAGGACGTCAGGGCCCGCTGGAGAGCCTGCTTCCCCGTCCAGTGTGCGGGAGTCTTGGAGGTCCACCATGGATAGGCTCTTGCCACCGTTGGCCATCTGGAGATCAGGCTCGTTGGCTTCCGAGTAGCTCGAGCTGCGGGCAGGTGAGGGCTGGACCCCGGAGGACCTTGTGACAAAAAACAAGTCCTTGTTTTCGGGGGTTGGAGACGGTAACCGGGTGAAATCTATCAGACTGCAGGGAGACAAGCACACACAGGGAAAGAAGGGGAAAAGAAGAACTGTGAGTGCAGCCACGCGGGTCCAAACCAACAGCACCCGCCAACCTGCTAGGACCTGGCAGTCAACGCCAGGGCCGGGGAGGGGAGAGCTGGGCCAGCAGAATGGGTAGTCCCAGGGAACAGTGGCTGAGATGACTGCTTCCACACAGAACCTCTGCTCTAGGGACCAGCTCTGCTAGTTCCAAGCCAGGCTGCCTGGCAAGCCCTTTACCCAATGGGTGCTGGGACCTGGCATGCTCTGGACAACCCCCTTAGCTAAGCCCCAGCCCACAGCTCAGTGGCACTCAGTTAATCTGCGAGTCCTGTGTTAAGAATTCCAACTTCAAAATCATGGGGCACCCTCTGCCTTTTCCCTCTTGTTTCTAATCAGACTGATAACCCAAGTGTGGGCCTGGTGAAACCCTCTCCTGCCCAGCCTCCTGCTGCCACTCCCTATTTGAGTGGCAGGTGGGGGCTGTAAATCCCGGCAAAAACAGAATCAAAGGAAGATGCATCAAAGGCATAGCTCAGGTGATGAATCTGAACCTGGCAGCAGGCTCTACCTTCCCTCAGTCTACCACAGCCCTTGGTCCTCCTCATGCCACACCTGTTTGCAGCCTCTCCTGGACCTTCCCTAAAGGCCAAGCACAACTGAAGTGGGCCCAGGTGGGTTTTGGAGGAAAGAATGTAGGCACGAACAGGGCTCTATGAGTGGGTGAGAAGCAACAAGGATATGGGGAGCTTGACACGGGCTTAGAATAGGAAGACACTGTCAGCTTGGCCTCAGATGGAGCAGAAACCATGGCCCCAAGACAGGGCAGTGCCAGCACTTAGAGCCCCAGCACTCATGGGCAGGGAAGAGCTGGACAAAGGTAGCAGAAAGAACGGGGACAAGCCAAGATCAGCTGTAGGTCTGGGCTAACCATGCCACACCCCAGGTCATGTGTCCTTAATGCTTTTCTCAACTCTTACATTGTCACTCTGCTCTGCTTCATTTAGCAGGTGAAGTGAACAGACCTCCAAACAAACATACAAACCAAAAAACAAATAAAACCCACTCAAGAGTGACCAGGACTGGTACCATGGCCTCTTATGGGCACCACACCCTCCAGATCTAGCTCAACACCCTCCCCTGCTGCAAAACTATGCTGCCAGCACCTGGGAAGTAAATCACACTCCCCACTCTGCTGTTCCAGCCTTGACCTCACCAGCAGGTCTAAAAGGGGCCCCTGCCAGGAGATAGAGGAACATATACGGTTCCATATGAATACTGAGTTTCTTAATGAAATGTCACACTGACATATTCAAAAGCACCTGCCTCCCACTGCACTGTGTGTTATTTATGTTGAGCAGCCTGCACCCAGAGCTGAGGGCTCAGGGAGGCTGGATCTCAGCACCTCTGTTTTCTGGGGTCCTAGTCTCAAAGCCCAGTAGAGCCACCTGGGCTCCTACTGAACATACTCTTAAGCACCACTTAAGGAGCTCCTTATACAGGTCCAAGAAATACCAGAATGAGTGCTTCAAACAAGCACAGGGGATCTGAAGGTGTTTGGGACCCAGAATTGTACCTGAACACAGATTGTTCTTCTCCAGGCCCTTGCTTGTGCTTGCCCCTTTACCTAGAAGGACTTTTCCACCAATGGAAATGCTACTTTTCCTGAAAAGGTAAAAAAATGACACCATCTCCTTTTCCAGGAAGACTTCCCTGGTTTTTCAAATGGAGGTTTACCACTTAGGGCCTGCATCAAACATTTAGAGTCTGACCAGGCTTGTTTCCTAAACAATCACATGGGCATCCTCTCCCCCATCGGAGACCACAGATGGGCTGTGCCTAGTCTGCATGCATGCCCCACTACACTCAGCACACCTAGGAGCTCTTACCCAGAGAGATCGTTCTCGATCACCATCTTCTGCAGTCCAGCTGAGATGCTGCTGCTGCCAGAGCCCGGTGTGGAAGCCAGATCGTTGGTCCCAGGGAGTTGCCCGCTGCCTGGGGTGCTCAGTGCAGTGTGGACATCCCTCAGGATCCGAGGCAGAGGTCCCAATTTGGACACAATGCTCTGCAAAGACACAAAAAAAGCCAGGTGTGACCTACTAAGGCCACTTGTTGAGGTTAGGTATGCCGCAGTCACTGTGGTTCAAAACCACCAAGGAGCCTATAAGCAATGCAGATTCTGGACCCCACAGTCAGACCCAGAGGGTCTTGGAAAGGACAAGCCCAGCAATCTGTAAATCTTCATTTATTACCAGCTCCCTAGATTATTTCTGGGGTAGGAATGCAAAGCCCACAGGAAGAGATGCTGACCTAGTCCAAGCCTCATGTTAGTTTGTCCTGCTCTGGTACCCTCAAAGAAGAAATCCCAGAATTGGATTCCCGCGCTTAGAATCCCAGAATTATCCAGCCTATACCTCTCCACCCAAGAGGCTTCTAAGGAGTCCCTCTACTATCTGCTCCACAAAGTGGGCTGACCCAAACCCAGTGGAGATGGTCTAGGCACAGAGCAGGCATAAACTGGTGCTGGACCTCGGCCCTTCTAAACCTTGTCATGCTTCGGACATGATGCAGAGGATTCTGGGCTACGGAGTTGAGCTAGGAGGAGGCCACTGCTTTTGCACAAAGTCGCTTGTGAAAATGCATGCATAAACAAGAGAAGAAAAGTGAATCTCATAGTCAACAGATTTGGGGAGGCCAACAGCTTGATTTCAAATCCTTGTTGCACCATATCACCTGGGTAACAATGCTGATTACCTTCCATACTTCCTACTTAGCTGTGAGATCCATGGGACAGTGACCAGCACAGGAGCTTGGCAAGTGGTGACAATGACAGTGACTGGTGTAGGCTGTAGCAGAGGGCTCAGAATTAGAGGAAGAGAGGGGCTTGGCCTTCATTTCCATATCTCCCTCATATTTCTCTCACAGACAAAGACAAAGGGATATAAATGAGAGAAACTGCGATTGCAACAGCAGCCATTTCAGTGGAGAGCTGGGACTAACCCACAGATACGTCAGTAGGAGACTGATGGAACAAACTGTTCATGGGACAGGGAAGTCTACACCTGTTTTTTGGCACAGTGGTGGTATAGGATGCACATGAGGACAGATGCCTATGATAGTGAGAAACATATCAGTGTACACTGGAAGTTTTCACTTGAAAACAAAAGGGAGGAGAACTGTAAATGTCTGCACCTGCATGTGTACAGCTACACATGCAAAGATCATGTTTAGAAGGTGGCATACCAGAGTGCTCTGAGTGTCACCTCAAATGGACCAGAAGGCAGGAAGGCCTTTCTACCTGGTTTCAGTATTAACTACTTTGTAAAATGGACCCTGGAGACCTGAAAAGCAACAGATATTTGAAAAGTGGTTTCTAGCAGGCCAATGCCAAGAAACTGCTCACTGTGAGGCCACTGGGGGTTTAGTGGAACTCCAGGCTGAGAAGAACTCAGTCCAAGTGACCAAAGCAATGTCAGAGGTGCTGAGGGAATTATCTTGCCAATTGACAGTCAAGGGTAATTCTAAAAAGGTTTTATTTTATTTTATTTTTTCCTATTCTGTTTTTGCAGTGCTGGGGATTGAGCCCAGGGCCTTGTGCATGCTTGGCAAGAGCTCCACCACTGAGCCATAGTCCCAGCCCTAGAAAGGTTTGCCCCAATACTGAGTGCTCTGGCAGGTGCCAGAGAGCAAACGTGACACTGGTCCATAAAGGAAAACAGAGCCCAGAGACACCCAGTGTATTCTACAGGGCCTGGGCTGGAACCCAGGGCTACTGGCACCTGGGTGGGCTGTTTCATGCCACAGAGACAAACCCTCTGACCTCATGGCTGCCCTGGGGCTTACGGTGGCCTTAGGACCCACCCTCACCCACAGCTACAGGCACCTGCTCCAGCTGGCTGACGGCCTCCCAGAGCAGTGAGTGCAGGCTGGAGAGCTCACGGCCCAGGTCAATATAGCCCTCGAAGCCAGCTGTATTGGAGATGGTCTCGGGGTTGGAGATCTCCAGCAGGAAGCGCTGCATGTTGGTCCACTCGTGCTCCAGGAACTGGTTCATGAATGACATATACTCCTCCTTGCTGCCAAATCTGGGAAGAGAGGGCAGCCAGGGTGAGGGCCCCTTCTCTGAGCTACTCCACTCCCTCAGTTCCCATTCCCACTACCCACTGCAGCCAGCTCCCACCCACTGATGCTCCAAGACAACTGAACCTGCCATGACCCAGGATATCAAGACCAGAAGTGGTGACCTTTTTTAAGACCTGTAACCACAAGACCTAGAATATTCTTTGACTCCTCATTTATCGCCCATTAGAGTCTCCTTCCTCTTTTCCTCCAATTTGCAATGCTAGGTGCACAGATGATTTTTTGATCCATGCTTGGCCCAGGTCTCTGCTCTTTCAGAACACCCCTCCCCACCCCCTAGTCTCTCCTGCTCAACCTGGCCAACTCTGGAGCCACTGATGGTTCCCCAAACTCATGCCTTCTTTCTGAACTTCCTATTCTAAGCATAGATGCCCGAGCCAGAAGCCTGGCATTTGCTGGGTCCTCCTTCCTCAACCCCAATGGCAAGGCCTGCTGTCTACCTTGACCACTTCACTTGCAGTCACTGTCTCCTATACCACCTTGCTTTTTGATAAAACATGGCTATGCTCTCCTCCCAGGTCTCTGGTCTCATCCCCCTGCTGACTGGGTGTTCTTTTCAGATCCAGAAGAGAGCTGAACCATCCTCCTGCTTATTTAAAATCCTTGGTGGCTCCCTCTGCCTTGTGTGGCCCTCTGGTCCCTGCTGTCCTCTTGAATCTTGTCTTCTGCTTCTCCTGGCCTGGCACTTGATGCTCCACTTGGTGCACTTCTATAGCACCATGGCACTCCCTGATACACCAGTCTTTGCTCCTGCTTCCCCTCGAGCCAGGTGAATGCCTTACCCTCATCATTTGAGGCCTTCCTGTCTTCTCTCCCCACAAACCCAGGGCGCTCTTGATATGTGACTTGGTCTCTGGTATATGACTATATACTGCTTTTACTCCATGTCTCCCTGTTTAATGTGCTCAGCTTTGAGAGCTGGGACCAGGGCCGACTTATCTATGAAGATAGCCTGAAACAGGGCTCAACCCACACTTTGTGAATGAATGACAAAATGACCCAGCCCTTCCACTTCTACCCACTTGCTCTAAGAATGCAGCTGAAAACACCAGAAGTGCATTATAAGTAAAGACATCCTGACAGCATTAATCTGAGTCAGTCTGAAACAACCTGACTGTCCAAATGCCCAGGAAATGTGCTAGAGGCCCGGGCTGCTCTGCTTTGGAAGAACATTGGCCATTCATTTCAAAATGGAGCTTAGGAATGTTAAGGGACATGGCAGAATCCTCAGGATGGATAATATGTTAATTCAAAAGAGCAGAAGGAAAAATATCTCCTCTTTGAAATTTAAGGAAATGTACCAAAATGGCAAGTACTTTTACTAGGAGGATGAGGTGTGGAGGAGGTTTTATTTTGAAATAGGGGGAAGGGAAGAACTGAGAATGGCAGGGACAAAAGCAGGGCCTGTTACCCCAGCCCAGTTTGCAGGGGGCAGAAACACATAGGCCCTGTCTCTGTGGACTCCAACCCTGCTGTCTCTGCCCACCACAGGCTAAGGCACTCACTTGGCGAAGTTGGCCAGGTTCTGGGTAACCTTGGCAATGAGGGTAAGGGTGCGGGCAGTGCGGTCATCAGGGTACTCCTGCAGCAGGTTGAAGAGTGAGGGTGACATGATGGCTGGGCAGAGAAAACGCAGAAAGAGGGAGGCGCTGATGAGACGCTCGCTGATGTCCGGCCGGCCACGACTACTGCACTCCTGCCGCCATGAGGCAAACACCTCTTTGAGCTCCCGTGGAAAGACACTGCATAGGGACAGACGATGGTGGTCCTGGTAATCAGACAGGGGCCCAGGACAGATCTGGGCTGCATGGAACCCTGAGTTCTGACCCTTACATCTCCCCCGCAGGTGCATGAAATTGGAGCTCTGGGCATGTCACTCAGCCTGTCAGTTACCCAGCAGACAGGGCTCCTGGGGAGCTGAGTCCACGCAGGAGAGTGCCCAGCCCAGGGCAGCAGAGCCAGCGCTCAGCAAGCAGGAGACCCAAGCTTCAGTTAGGGTGGACTCTCATTGAAAGGGCCAACTGAGCCGAGAGACAAGCTCAGTTGGGGAGCTGGCTCCGCCTCATCACCTCCCCCAAGCGGTAACACATCTTTCCATCGAAATGGCAGGCACTTGGTGGAGTAGTGTGGAAACCGACAGGGACACATCACTGTGCCTGTGTTCTCATCACTGGCTTTTGAGACACTCCCTTTGCCTGAACATTGTCATAGGAACGTAAGGTTTTATGCAGAGCTTGGAGTGATGGAGAGACCACCCTTAACCACAGGGGAGAACACAGCTTGCCATGCTCTAGATGGGATGGAAACAAAGGCAGCAACTTCTTCAGGGTGACACAGTCAGAGGACCAACACAGGGTTCCTGGCTCCACTGGGAATTCTGCCCAGCCACAGTCATGCCCACCTGGCCCATCTTTAAGTGACCTTCCCACCTTTCTACTCTGGGGCAGGCCAGGCCCAGTGATCCTTAAACCCTGTCTATGCCTGCTGTCATAAGCTCAGGGTGACCTGACCAAGACCCTGGCCCTGCCTGGGCTTTAGCATCCTGTCACCTAAACTGAAAACAAAGCCTACCCTGCCAAGCTCACAGAATCACCTTCAGGCTGAGGTGCCAAGGCCACAGAGGGCTTGCTAGGCCTGAAATGCTCATTGGGGCAAGCCCAGCAGCCAACCCAGCAGGCTCGGTGGTAATGAATGTCAGTGGAATTGAGGGTGCCTAGGGAGAAAAGGAGGAGGGAGTGTCTTTAGCCCTGGGCCTCTCAAAGCACCTGGCACAGGACTGGGCAGGGACACCTAGGTACTGAGTGATGATATCTACTGATGACCTTGTCCCAAAAAGAAAGAATCATCTGACAGATGCCAGAAACAGAAAATGGAAAATCCTTGTCCACAGAAATGTTTTTCCTGTGACCCACACTCAGCTGCCCAGGAATGGGGGACAGAGGGTGTCCCAGTCCAGTGGGGGATAAAAAGAATGTTCCCAAATAGTTCAAGGCTCTCTGGTTGCCCCCAGGCTCCAAGGTGTCCCACTGGCCCCAGATGAGTACCTTGTGTAACAGTGGCTAAGAAATTGGGCACATGGGCACCCAACACCCTGGCCCTGGCCATTCCCTTCAACCCCCTCCCCAGGAGGCTGCTCGCCTGGCAGGCCTGTCTTTGCCTGTTGTTTGGCTCTCTGCATGCCTAGCCCTGAGCTGGTGGACCCACCTGCCTCCAGAGTGCTCCCAGCCTGTGTAGGAAACTCATTCAGATGCAGACATGATCCCATTCCAAAGGGATCAGGGCTTCAACAGAAGGGACCCAGGAGGGATAAGCAGACCACATGTGGTCAGATGACGGGCCATAGAGGGACAGGTATAAAGCCTTAGGACAGGAGTGTGACAGATCAAGGTGGGTGGAGAGTAAAAGAACCAGAGGACTAGGACAGGAGGGGACACCAGCCCTGAGCTGCAGCTGTGGCATAAGTTGAAGCCTAAGTGGCTCTTTTGGTGTGAAAGTGATCACTCAGGCTGGTAGGAAGCCCACCTACACACAGGACACTCGTGTGCCACCACACAGCAAGGATGTACCTGGCACCAGGTCAACAGCTGTCACACATGTGTCCAGGAACAAGAAGCTACCTTTGAAGTTAGCTTTCCTGTAAGGTCACCAGGACCAATCCAAGTTCTGATTATGGTTCCATGTGAGCAGCGTACTCCCGTGCGCACCTGCTCTGTTCTGGGGCTGGTGTGGCCTGCAGACCCTACTCTATTTAAAACCACCCCTTTCTTTTTGGTCTCTAGTCCTGGGCCGCCTGGTGCTCAGATACGCACACATGTCCCTGCTGGGCCTGATCACAAGCCCATGACATGAGCACCATTACTACTAGGACGGGTGAGGAGTCATCTCTGGTGGGTGCTTGAACAGAGCCTGGCCAGCTCCATTCCATGCTGTAGCCTGGGCAACACACGCACACAGGTGCTCACCAGGCACTCGACTGCTGTGTCCAGGTTATTACAGTTTCAACTGTGTCTTGTTGACATTCTGGAATACTCTCCTATGCTCAAGAGAGCCCAAAAAAGACCAGGACAGGAGTCTGGCTACCCAGTAACTCAGTGAGTCAGGCAGCAGGTGGATTCTGACCTTGTGCCTAGCACACTGTGAGCACTCTGACAGCCAAGAAGACAGGCAAGACAACAGGACAGGAAGGCCTGGTCCAAAAGGGAATGCAATGTCCTCAAAGGGTCATGGGGTGAGCACTGACCAGTAGGAGTTGATGATCTTGCAGAAGGCCAGTTCGCAGCACATCTTGAGGTTGCCCTGGTGCTCAGGGAGGTCAGCAGCTGAGCACTTGCTTGGGTCCACTTCACAGTTCTCATCTGACTCGTACAGAGCTTTGATGAACTCACCTGTGGCCAGGTGGGCAGGGAGGAAGGAGTCAGGGTTGGGCAGACAACACCAATCCTCTGCCCACCTGACAGCCCACCCCCTCCCTACCTAGTGCATCCTGCAAGTACTTCTGGCCCACCAGTTTGAGGTACTCCTCAATGGCCTTGGTGGCCAGTGTATTCTCACGGAAGATGAGGTGCTCATTGTCTCCACAGCGGTCCACCTCTGACATCATCAGGTCCGTCAGAAAGTCCTGGGGAGGCAGGGGGTGAGCAAATGGAACCTAAGCTGGCCTGGTAGGCAGGACCTGAGGACTCTGGACCTGGACAGAGAAGTCCCTGCTTCTCAAGCTTGTTCCTTCACCACACCACTGGGGATCTAGAGAGGAACACAGCACCCATCTTGGGGGCTGCTGAGCAGGCAGGGTGGGAAGCCTAGTGAGGCTGAGCTTGGAGCTGATGACATCAGAGCTGGGCATAAGGATGGGAGGCAGGGCTGGATGGCAACATGCCACATTGAGCCTCAAGCTCCACCATCACGTCCAGATTGGCTGCCATAGGAGAGGTCCCCCGTCCTTCCACACCATGTGCCAAGTACAAACAGCTGCCGGGACCTATCAGAGTTTGGTGGGGGCTCCCCATATGACATGGTTTGTCCTCTGCAGCCCATGGGTAAGGATGAGAGAAGAAGGACTGAGTGATCCAGTTGCTCTATACTTAGAAACAAGAGTGGGGCTGAGGTCCACCTGGCAGGGCTCTGGCTGGGAGGCAGGCTGTGGCACCACTGCTTCTCATTGCTGTGGCCCCCCAATTGCACCTAGTAAGGCCCTCACCCATCAGGTCCTACACAGTGTCAAGGGAATCCTGGCAGAGAAGCCTCAGCCACCCTTTCCTAACTGGACGGTAGCTCCCTTCCTCTGGAGACCTTGCCTCATCATGTCCAGAGCCAACCTATGACCTGGGGGAGAGGAAGAAGGGAGGCAGGCCGACTGAGGGGAGGGTAACAGCTGGGACAGGAGACCAGCTAGCTCAGAGCCTGCAAGGCACTCAGCATGGGCCAGGGAGTTTCCCACTCTGATGTGCCAATTTGGGAGCCTTTTGAAATAAAGAATTGAGATCTGGAGCCAGAGATCAAGGCTGGCCAACAAGACAGACAGGAGGGACCAAGGGGATGTTATCACTGGCCTCACTGGGATAATGTGCTCAAGGACTACTTCCTGATGTGCAGAAAACCTCTAGGCTCCCAACCTCTGAGTACACAGAGCAAAGGTTAAAAACCACATCTTCCCTGGAGCTCCGCCACAGCAGCCCTGGGGACCAGGGATTGAAAGATGAGAGACCCAGCAGCAAGAAAGGCTCAGGCCTCTGCTGTCTCCCTCATTCCATCTCTGGGCCACAGGCTTTTGCCAATCACTCTTTCCTAGCACCCTCACCTCACCACTGACCAATAAATGAGGATAGTGCAGCCTGTGGTCCATCTGGCAGCCTCAACCAGCAAGTATAAAGGCCATGGGCAAGGGGAGGAGGTGGGCCAACATGGAGGAAGGCAGATCTCCCCACAGATGCGTGGTGAAGTCCCTCTTTCATACAGTGACAGTTCAACAGATAGTGGGAACTAGAAGGGCCTTTAGGGGCCATGGGCTTCTAGTCATAGCCTTCCCCTGCCAGGGCCTTTAGGAACAGGTAAGAGGACAAAGGACCTCATGCAGTCAAGAATCTGGTGACACCCAAGCCTGGCTCCCTACCTGTACCTCTCCTGATTGAGAGCTCAGGACCTTGATCCAAGGCATCCCCTACCCTTCACTCACATCATTTATTCTCAAACCACGCCACAACCAGAGGGCTAAGGCCCAGTTCCCTAGCCTGGCATTTGGGATCTATCCCTGTCACAGAAGGATAGTTCATTCAAAGTTTAGCCCTTCTTCTTCTACGGGCTCTGGGCAGCCAGGAGGCATGGCAAAAAGGGGAAGACTTCCCTCAGGTGAGGCTGGGAGCCACGTTCCACTGAGCTGGACAGGTGCCCCCTCCGAGGGGCACCAGTCCAGAAGCCTACTTGTCCTCCAAACCAAGTGCGGGGGCTGCTGAGTGGGCCTATTTTCAGTGGCAGGAGAAAGGTAAGGGTAGGGTAAGGGGAGCTGGGATCCTCTAGCCAGGAAGTGGGGCCTGCCTACATAGCTCTCTGATCACCATTCCTAAGGGGCCCTGGGGCTGGGGCTGGGTGATCATCTACCTGTGCATGTGAAATCTGTGTCTGGATGTGAAAGTGTTAGGAAAAGGCTAGGGCTGGTAACTGCCTGCTAGGGATGTCCCGAGTGGTATATGTGTCTGTGTCACTGGGCTGGCAGATTGTGCGTCCCATGTGTTCCGGAAGAGCTCAACTACATGACCTCCTCAGGGTCAGCCCCCAGGGTTAATAGGGGAGGGCATCTGAAGGCACACCTACCCCCTCACTACCAGCCACCAACCCATCCACAGCTCCACAAGCCTTGGACTGCCCTGCCATGCAGGTTCAGGGAGACCATCTGGGTGTGATGCCTGTCCCCAAACCTCCACTAGAGCTGACCTGTACTTAACATGGACAAAGTAAAGGCAAAAAGCCCAGTGCCCATCACCAGGCCTTCCCACACGCACCTTCACCTTGCCTGTGCTCTGCAAGATGTGCACCAGGGCAGACGCCATCTCCTCTTTGGTCTTGGCACTGAGGATGGGTTCAAGGGCTGCACAGAGCCCCAGGTAGTGATTGGTGATGTGCTCGGCAAACTCCTTGTACATCTCCATGGGCAGGATGGTGATGGTCTGGTAGCGCGCCTTGATGCGGATCATGGGTCCAGGGCCCTTGCCGCCCTTGGGGTTGGGCGTCACCACAGGGTACCACTTCTCTACGAACTGCCGCCCTGCCACAGAGGCAGCGGGAAGGCTCACCAGGCCCAGGTAGCTGTTGCGCTCCTTCTTCTTCTTCTTATCAGTCTCCCGGTAGAGGTGGACGGTGACTGTGCGCAGAGGTGGCAGGTTGTGAAACTCGAAGTGTTCTCCCCAGAAGACATTGTCCGTCTTGAGCTTGCCCGTAGTACGAGCATAGAGCACATCATCCAAGCACAGCTCACACAGGTACTTCTTCTTGGCTGGCAGGTCCTTGGCTTCAATCACCCATAGTTTCAAAATGTGCTCCACACGCCGGCTGTTATCCTGTAGGGGCCCTGGGTGTCAGCTGGGGCTGTCACCTGCCTACCCAGCCAGCCCAGAGCTGGAAACTCCTCTGAGATGTGGGAGGGGCTCCGATGATGGTGGTGAAGGGGTTTGGGTGTGGGGTATGGGTCAGCCGGACATGACATGGGCTGCCTCTCTTGTCTGCCTTGCACCAGCTTACTGACCTTGGGCAAATGACTTCATCTGGCCTCAGTTAGCTTTTGTATAAAATGGGAATAAAATAACCACCACATCGGAGTGAGACTGAGAAAAAAAGATAACACAATGCCTGCCACATCACTGATCATGGTACTATTGTTAGCACTTTCTCAGTTTGCTGAGAGGTGATACATTAGTGATGTCATGGAGACCAGGATTAAGCCCAGGTCAACATGTCAGTGGGGAGGAACACACATAGGAGTTAGAGTTCTGACCAAATGGAGGAGCCAATGTGGGCCAGGGTGCCTGCCTGGCGGAGGGGGCAGATGTCTAAGCTGGAATGGGATGGATGAGCTGGAGCTAGCCAGGGAACATGGGACAGGCAGAAGGATTGTATCAAATGCCCAACTCCCTTTTCTCTGGCCCAGCTTCCCACATGTGTACCTCTGGGAACTGGCACATGGCAAGTATTTCAGACTGAATAACTCACACTCCTCTTCCAGAGTTTAACTGGGCTCTGCCTCCACCCCAGTCCCAGAGTGCACCACCAGCAATGCATCCCTCCTGCTCCCTCATGTTAGAGTCTCGCCTTAATCCCCCATGCTCCAGAGAAAGGAGGCTCAGACCTACCTTGTTGGGGTGCACTGCTCGCCGCAAGTTCTCCATCCACTTATCCCGCTCGGCTGCTGACCGGCAGGAAAAGCACTTGCTTCCTGATGATGTTGTCACCTGTTGGGGGCAGGCAGGACGTGTTACAGGGGAAGGGACTATGGCAAGGCTGGGCAGTGATGGAAGGCCTCTGAGACCACCAGGTCTGCACATAGCCTCTGAATGGCAGTAGGACAAGGCTCACAACTGCCCTTATACCTCTCATTTCCCAGGTGGCAGAGACCTGCTGTCCTAGAGCAGGTGGGCAGGAGTAGAGCAACCTGGCCTGAGCCATCTAGCTCTCAGGCCTGGCTCCTCATCTCTGCCGGCTCAGAGCCCTTCTTTTCAAAGAGAAAAATCACCTTTATGAGTCTTACAGGGCACTCTGCCTAGGTCATAGGGCAATGCTCACCTCAAGTATAGCCATAAAGGTAGAAACCAAAGTCCCAAGAGGACAAGCAAGGACAGGCAGGAGATTCTTCTCCATCCTTAGCTGACACCTTCTGAGGGTTCTCTTTTGCCCAGCAACAGTGACAACAATGATGGCCACAAAAAGCCTAACACCTGTGTGTCAGGCCCTGGGGTCCTCCTGCCTGGAACCTTCACCATCCCCTGCCTGCCTGACTCCTGTTCATTCTCTAGTTGCAGCTTGGACATTTCCTCAAGGAGAGAGAGCCTGGCCTGAGCTGTTGCCACTCTGTCCCCACTGTCCCAGTGCCATGCTAAGGGTTCCACGGGGCAAACCAAATCTCTCATCCAGGCACTCAAGTGCCTATACATGAGTAGCAAACTGTGTTATGAACAAGCTGACAGGTACAGGCCATCTCAATCTGTCCCAGGCAAGGAAGTCAGAGTCCAGATGCTGCCTGGCTTAGCTAGGAGTCTTAAACCAGAAACTGCACACAGGACACAGGTCATGGGCAGAGGTTGGGAGGTTTTTACACTAGTCCCCAAAGGCAGTATTCATTCTGAGAGTTTCCTTAATTATGCATGATTGCTGGGGGTGGCAGTAGGGACAGGGTAGGAATCTTCCCAGAAACAGAAGTAGGAAGTCAATAGGAATAATGGGAGACACCACTGGGAACTCCCAAGAACACCTGCAGCGTAATAACCTGATCCTGGCTTGGTCTCAAGCCTGGCTGCATGAACTTTGGCATCTTGCCTTCTCTAGTCCACTGACTCCCCACCTACCATGAGGGACTGTGCAGGGGATCCCAGCTAATGGCCCTGCCCAGGTTACATTTTGGCCTTCTATTCTTAATTAAACCCCGGATCACAGAATGTTGGGCAGAAGAAGTTGGGGCTCTCACTGAACAGATGGGAAAACAGGCTCAGAAAAGTGGGGAGGGGGGCTCTCCACAATCCCACAGTACACTAGGTGAGCAGGCTCCAACCATGGGCTCTGGGCTTGTGCAATTCTATAGCAGCTCTTTTTCCTTAACTCACTTTTACCCAGTGGGGACCCAGAAGTGTCACCTGTTTTACAAAGAGAGCAGGCACTGGTCCATTCTTAGGAGCCCATCCCTGGGTCTCTTGTCTCCCAGGAGCCAAAAGCTATCAGCAGATGTGGCCACTGTCTCAAAGAGACTATCCACTGCCAAGGACACAGTATTCCAAAGGAGTCTGGAGGAGTCCGGCCTGGTCAGAGATAGACAAAGGTGCTGCCAACCTCTCCCCTGGTGAGACCCACCTCAAAACAGTAGTCCTGGCCCAGGATGCTGCTGTGCACAGGCTTGATGACCACCTCCTCCTCCATGCTGAGGTCCAGCGCCTCCACCGCACTGCTGGGGCTGAGCAGGGACTCGTGGGAGCGAGACTCCTTCAGCCTTGGCATCAGATGGGACCTGAGGAGGTAGGCAGTTGATGTGTCAGGGCCAGGCCAAGCGGGGTGGCTGTGCCCCACCCACTTGTCTCGTCCCTGCACCATTGCCCTCCTCAGCGGCAGTCATTCCTCCTCCAACCCTTGCTGCCCTTTGTTTTCAGGCAGGCTTGGTGGAAGGAGTGTCCCCCAAACCCACCAGTTCCTCTTCCCCACTGTGGGGGTCTAGATAAGAGGTTCAGCCCCTAAGAGAGCAAGAAACCGAGGATTCCATGACCACTTGGGTTTAAACTGAGCTTCTGAGACTGCAGGGCAGGGTTGGACCAGGCTCTTTAGCAGCCCCAGAGACCCACCAAGAGAAGAGCTGCCCAGGTTTAGGCAGCTTTTTGGGGTTCTGTAGCCTTTCCCACCTTCCCTGCGTCAGCCCTGTCCCCATCCAAGACCAAAGTAATCACCATCCCAACGCTTGTCCAGAATGCCACTGCCAACAAAGCCCTTTCCCCCACACTGCCTCACTCCCAGCCCCACACACAGTAGCACAGGCCCAGGAACCTCCACTGCTCTATTTTATAGAAGCTATGAGCAGAAGGGATGCCACAGTCTCCGCACAGTATCCAAAACATTGAGACTCAGTCGGGGTCCATTAGCTGGCGCTCTGTGGCCTAGGCCAGAGTCCATGGGCTTGACACAGGCCTTGGCATGAGGAACAAAGATGCCACCTGGTAACCAAATGGAGCTCAGATCTGGACTGGCCCTAACAAAATGGCCTTGAACCTAAGCCCACTGCTCACTTACTGTATGGCCCTGGGCAAGTTCATCCCTCTCTGTACCTATGGTTCTTCAGTGCATCACATGGAATACACCTCAGCATACCTGCTCCCAGTGCTTGGTAATGACCACCAAAGAGAAATGAAGGTCCAACTGGAGCCCCCTCCACAGCTGGGCCAGAGGAAAAGCCCACAGTTTAGTCTGACATAAGGCTACTGTTGGTAAGGGAGACACCTGGTTTAGATGCACTAGGTGAGCAGGCTCCAGCCATGGGCTCTGGGCTTGTAATTCTATAGCAGCTTTTTTTCCTTAACTCACCTTTACCCAGGGGGGGCCCAGAAGTGTCACCTGTTTTACAAAGAGAGCAGGCACTGGTCCATTCTTAGGAGCTCAGTAAAAAAGAATGACATACCTCATCCCTGGGTCTCTTGTCTCCCAGCAGCCACATACTATAAGCAGACTTCCTTCCCACAACACCCTTTGCTTTTTGGCTCCTGACCAGTTCATCATCCTCTCCCTACCTTAGATCAGGCTAAGATCTGACCTTGACCTTGAAAGACTCAGAGCCTGATAGACATTTGCATGCAGAGCACACCCATTTCCATGACCACATGGAGTAAAGAAGGCTGAGGCCTATGATGTATGGGCTCAGGGATCCAGAAAATTTCCACATCTCCATGGCAACAACCCTATGTGCATATGAACTTTCATTCAGCACAAAGTCTAGGCACTCAAGGTGTCAGAGCTGGAAGTGAGACCCCAGGCCTTAGAAACCCCACATGGTGTGCTCCAGTAGACTCTTTCACTCATCTCTCAGGCCTCCTCATGACCACAGGAAGCTGGCTTCAGACTAGAGCAAAGCTGTGAGGTGGGCTGAAGTCAGCTCAGAAACCATCCAAATCCCCCTGGGTTCCCTCTGGGGCTTCTCAGTGTGGCCTAAGCCCAGGACCCTCTCCTGGGATGCCCAGTTTGCAAAGGTGCAGGGTGGCTTACCCATAATGCCATACCATCTTATGTGTTCAGACAGGACTTATCCCTTGATGACCTCTCAGTCCTTGCTCAGATTGCTAGGCCTTTTCCTGTGGGGAGGTCTGCCTTCCCCTTCTCACCTGGGGCCTGGGCTAGGCAGCCTCACCCTCAGACTCTAGGCCTCCCTCACAGAGAAAGCTTCATACTTCAGTGGAAGAGATGCACTGGCTCAGATGTTGGGGAGTCTGAGGAAGTTGGGCTTGTCTAGGAAGGCCTGGAACTCACAGTAGGGATCAGGCTACTCTTTGGCCCAGCCTGGCAAACCCTGCCAGGTTAGGATGCTGGAGTCAGAGTGGGTCAGGTAGTAGCCTGGGATGTACAAACGGAGGCGCTGATGAGCTGGGCCACCTTCTGCCTGAGATGCCTGAACGAGTTGGCTGGCTGGAGAGAAACAAGGGGCCTTTTACAGCTCACTGACCCTGCCCAGGGAGACCTAAGGGGTGCCTTGTTCTGCAGCCCCAGGAGCCTAGTTCAGACCCTCAACAGCCAGGGCCCACAGACTGTGACTGCAGAACCCCTCCCCTCCTTCTTCACTGTCCTGTCCTGTAAATGTGCTCCAGCTGGCCTGGGCCTCACTGGGCTAGGAAGATTCCTGAGAAAGAGGGCTCAGTGAAGCTCAGGGCCCTTAAGGCATCCTGGAGCAGCCTGGCCCTGACTCTCCCTGCCTCCTCTCAGACTTCTCCATAGGGGGAAAGTGGAGCAGAGCTGCATCCAGCCCCACAGCCCAAACTCACTGGAAGGAAGAGAAGCAGGGTTGCCTGGCTCCTCCCAGGCTTCCCAGGCTGCTCTGGGGCAGTAGAGGGCTGGGTGGTGGGGGCAGGATTGGTGGTGATCTTACATGTCTATTTTCTTCCTGTTCGCCCTGGAGTCTACCTGCAACCCCCTCCATCCTCTAAATTCTGACACACAGTAACCTTGGTTCTCATCTCATCTGGGCCCAGAAGTTGGTCAGCTGTGACCCGCTGAGGTATGCCCAACTCTCTGGGTCCATTTTCCTTATCTGAAAAAGCAGGAAGGATTCTTGCCTCAGAAGGAAAGTAGTGATACTGAGCACACGCTGCAGGAGTGCTGTAAAGACAAGATCTGCAGGGGGAGGCATTCCCAGGCCTTTCTGTTATGGTGGTAGGGGGCCTTATAAAGACCAGCCCTGGACATGGCACCCTGGGCTGCTGGGTGGGGTCCACCTGCTGTTCCACCTGATCACAGAGGCCTATTTGCTGGGCAGCTCCCACCCGGAGACCCAGGTCCCTCAAGCAGGCCTCCAGGCACATGCCACTCCCTCTGCCAAGAAGCCCCCTTCCCCTATCCAACTCGAACTCCTAGCAGCAGTGCATTTTCCTTCATTAAGGCTTCCCGGACTCCCAGGCTATGCTGGGAAAGTTTGTCAGAGTTGTCGCCTTGCCAGGAAGGGAGTTCCTCGTGGGTAGGGCTAAGCCTGGCAGTTCTAGGATTCAGGTCCTCGGGGTTCTTGGACCAAAGCTCCCAAACCTCTGCAGCCAAGGTTAGCTACTCCTGGAGTGAGGAGGAAATCAGCTGGGACAAGTATAGACCTCCCTGAGCCGCAGACCCTGATGACACGACTGTTCCCCGGAAGAAGGGACAAATTAGACCTGAGGGTTTGGCTGTCAGGTCAGCTGTCTATTCAAAGCCAATTCCCAAGAGCAGCATCCCAATGTTCACCTCAGAGTCTCCATGAAAGAGCCTTAGGGGCATCATCTTCTCCTCTCAGCAGCACCCAGTTTCCCCATGGTCCTAACCCTTTCTGGGAACTCAAACATGGCAGATTCTCTAAGGCCCACGATGGCCCTCGAGGACTAGAGCCCCTAGAGCTCTTTCACAGTCTTTCCCTGTGTCCTCCATGGTATGGGACTCTCACACCTCCCAGAAATAAGTGTGGCACCAGGATTCCCAGGTCACTTGTGGGAAACAGGTCACAGGACAGTGAGATCTGCCCTGGATTCTACTGCTATTGAGAGCTGGTCTGGCCAGGGCCTAGGGCATGCAGGGATGGAGTATCCCAGTGGCCATCCCCAGCGGACCACAGCAGTACCCCTCCACCAGGAGGGCCCCTCCGCCTGGCATGGCCTCCCTCCCTCCCCTCACAGCCTAGAAGACAAGCAAGTCCCAGAGGCCTCAAGGTGGTATTCAAATCCAGTCCTCTATCACTATACCCTGGTTGGTGACCTAGCCGTGGACTCTGCCTTCCAGTGCCTTGGCCCAGGCTCTTTCTTCAGCCTGTCCTACCTTTCCCTCCATCTTTCTGTTTAACAAAATCCTTCCATTTTCAAGGCCAGCCAATGCCACCATAATAATACTCTTCTGGTCTCTCCAGCCAGCCAGCCCACACCCATGCACTTGAGCCCCATCCATGCCTTAAATACTTGGTTCCTTGCTTAATTCTCATGATGACCCTCTCAGGTTTGAGGCACTGAGAGTCTGAAAGGCTTGACTTGAACAATGTCCTCCAGTAGCAAGACTGAGGAGGATCGCACCCCAGCTAGGTAGAGTCCAAAATTGACTTCATCAGTGTATACCACAGCCTCAGCCTGGCCTTTCAAGGCCCCATAGGTGGCCATGGGCAGAAGGGCAGAGAAGGTCCACAGGCAGGCTGATGACTCCCTGTGGCTGTGACCTGCTCACTCCAAGGGCAGCCTTGCCCAGGTCCCAGGAAATGTGGGCATAAGCATGGGGGAGTCACTGCTGGAGACAGAGCCAGTCCCAACAGCAGCTCATTGTAAGAACCCAGTAGCAGGAACAATGGGACATTGTCCCAGCTCCTAGGCCACAGCCTTATCTGATAGCCTTCCAGCCAAGCCACAAGCTGTTTTTCAACTCTGATCCTTTTTCTCTTAAAAGGTTAGTGACATAGAAATTCCACAAACTCTCCTAATTTCAAGCTCAGGGGGGACCTACAAACAAAAACAATGTTTGTGATAACTAAAAATAGCTCTGACACAGGATGCTTGCAGCTATGGGTGGGGTAAACTGAGAGTAGGGTATTTAGCCTGGGAAGTAAGAGGGTAAGGGTCACCCTCCAAATCTCAAAAGGACAGAGGGAGTTGCCCTTTGCTTCCCCGAGGCAGGACTGGGACCAGCTCATTGCCAGTTGTCCCCAAACAGACCAGGCTCATTTGCTTTTAGAGTGTGTGGACTTCTTGTCTCTGGAAAGTACACAAACAAGAGCTGGGAGACCCTTAAAGACACACTGTGGAGAGAACGCTTGCACTG